TAAAATCCTTCTGTACTTATCTGATATTAAAATTTAACTGGGCACCCTGCAGAATTACTTGTTAACTCAGCAGCCTTTCAGGAGGGGAAGGAGGGAGTTAACAGGAGTGGAAAGTGCTCCTATGGAAGAGGCAGGCCTGGCGCCGAGGGCCTGCCTGGCTAAGCTGGGCCTGAGCTGTGGGCTTCAGGGATCCAAGATGAGAAAATGTTATAAACATATGTGTCTCATGAGCATCTTCTGGAAACTTAGCAAGCAAAACCCAGCCAGAGGCAGATAAATAGCCATGACTCTCCCAGACTCAACAGGAACAAAAATGACCTCCCACAGCCTGCCTGCTAATGTCTCTACCTGCGGGGATGAAGCTTTGTATTCCAGTCAGAGTCCTCAGGGTTCACAGCACCACAGAGCAGGAAGCGCCTTCCAGGCCAGCCAGCCCCTCCGGCCACTGCTGGGCAGCCTGAGCCCAGGGAAGGACAAGTGTGCCTAAAGCTACACAGGAGTAAGGAGCCGGGCTGAGATCCAGGTCTCCCACCAGCCTGGTCAGCTCAGCCCCATGCCTCGTGCTACCATCACCGTCGGAATAGAAGTGCCCATGACTTCATATGCAAATCCACTCACCAGCGCCACAATCTGGGATCAAGAGGAGCCAAAGGGGTTCTCTCTGGTTACAACTGAACTAGAAGCAAAGAGACAGAGAATCTACCCTGAAAAGGGAAGTGGCCTTCCTGGGACGTCTGGAGATGGCCAGGCTGCCTGGGGGCAGCCCTCCTCACTGTGCCTGCTTCAAGAGGTAGCTGTGGCTGGTCTGTGTTCTCACTGATGCACAGCACAGAGGAAGTATGAGCTATGGAGTCAGGAGACCCCGGGGCAAAGCCTGACCTGATTGGTTTGGGCTGATTGCCCAGCTCAGTCCCTCATGTGTTCAATGTGACTATTTCACAGGAGGTCATGAAGATGAAATGAGACCAGGCCCAGGACCCGGGGCATTATATTATAAGGCCTATGTTTTCAAGTGCTGCCCTGACACCTTTGAATCCCAAAGGCCTAATTGTTGAGTTGCCCTGCTCTCTCCAGATATGCCCCTTATCAAATGGATAGGCTCCCCACTTAGCTAGTTCCCCTAACTGCTCCCTAATGGGGTCTACCACCCTGCCAGCCCAATAACTTATTCAGTGAGCCAATCACAATCTCACACAAGAATTGGAGGAGGGCACCCCACTCTCTTGTCACTACAAAGCCTGCACTCCACGGCCCCTGCTGACTCACTCTGCTCCCAGTGCGGCTCAGGCACGTGGCGTCCTCCTCTCCATGTCTGTGAGGATGCATGACCTATAAACTGCTCCCAGTCTCATTGGTCCATTCTCAGGACTTGTATGCTTGACCACCTTATACTATTTAGGACAAAGGAGCTCTCATTCACCAACTGGGTGGCCAGAATAGGGGTTTAATAAGATTGTGAACTCTGGTGCCCAAACACTCTCCTTCTACTGCGCCACACGGCTGGGCAAGAGGGCCCTCCTTGTGTTCTTAAGTGGTGGTGCTGGGCTCCCTCAAACAGAGAGAGGCTGAGACCTGGACAACTGAACTTAGCCAAACAGCATTTGGGGAGACAGCATTCTGGGGTCTTCTCAGGTTCTCGAGGGCCAACAGCCCCTCACCACCTGACACACTTGTCTTCACTGTATCTTGTCAGACTAACTACTGCCTGTGAGGGGTCATGGCAGATGTTTTATATCTGTTTTCGTGCTGTGCAGAGAAAAACTAGTCCAAGGTCACACAGACAAGAGAGATAGGGCTGGGCCAATCCCTGCCCTCAGCCCACTGTCAGCACCCTGTGACCCTCTGGGGAGCAGAAGCACTGCTTGTGGGGTGTTCTATGCTGAAGGGACACTTTCCCAGAATCACCCATGTGAGGGCTGCAGAATGCAAATACTGGCTCTGGGACACGAGATTCAAGTCCCCTGGGAAGCTCTGCATGGGAAAGAGATCAGTGGCCTTGTCCCAGGTCACTTGGATCTGTCTCAGTCCCCACTGGGCCCAGGGGTCCCACTGATAGACAGTAAGGTGGTCTGGAGGCCTCTACATGATTCCCTGCAGTTGGGAATACCCAGAACTTCTTGGTCCTAAGAATAAATTTTATGACTATTGCCATTTAGCTCTCCTGTCCTTTGTTTGAGGGAATGGGAACTGACAGCGAAAGCCCTTAGCTGAGGGTTATAGCTGCATTACTTTGGCCAGCCCAGAGCTGTTCCTCACACACTTCCCTTGGGCACCTCTTTAATAACAGTTGAGTCCCTATTTCTGAATGAGGTGGCCTGGGCTTCCATTTACAGGAAAAGGTTGGGACCCTGCCGAGGAGGCACTAAAGTTACCACTGGACCTGGGGTCAGTCTTTCCCATGCCCCAAATTGCCCCGAGTCTCTCAGAAACGCAGAGGTGTTTTAGGAGCCAGCTCTCCTGCCATCTCTGAGTTTCAGATGCTAATGCAAAGGTTAGGCACCCTCAGAACAAGTTGACTCTCAAGCTATGGGAACTATCTCTGCTTCAGCTAATCCCCACTAAGAGGATGGAGAAAAATGAGGATTATCTAAGGTCTTGCTTAAGCAATCAGCATGGGGCCCGAGGGAGAATTTGCCCCCTTGTGCTGGGAATGGGTGCTGAGTCAGTCCAGCTCCCTGACCCAGGGAAGTGGAACCAGAAGCTCCTCTGGCCTATGATGCCTGTGGTCAGCCAAGGACAACCTCAGAGATCTGATCTGGGCCCTCCCCCAAGACCAGTGCAATGTCATGTGCAGGCTTCCTGCATGGCGGGGCTCCCATCATCCCTGGTTCTCTTCCCCAGGTCCCAGCTCTGCACAAACAGAGAAGTCAGGCTCCACAGGGAAAACACCCCTCTATCTGCCTGACCTTGGCCAACCTTCCCTTGAGGCCACAGACAGACGTTACCCAGATGAGCACAAAAGGAGGCCAGGGAGCCAGGAATGCTTGGAAAGTAGCCAGGCGTGGGACTAGGCAGGTGGTGGCAGCTTTGCTGCTCCCAAAGAACCAGATTTTGGCTGCAAAGACCCTGGGGGGTGGGGCACTCTCCTTTAGGGGAAAGTACATCCCTTTGCTGCTTGTATGTTTTCCCCACACTGTCACCTCCTTACCCAAGAGTCACACACTGCTCTGTCATGCAAACGAATTCCTTTGGGAGAAAAGTAATTTCCCAACTCCTCTGGAGACTCATGGAAACTCTGAGGCTGTGACAGGATGAGAAGGAAGTGTCACCAGACTAAGGTGACTGTCTGTCTTTCCCTGGGAGATTTTTCTCTCCTTTCTCTAATAGCTCAGCAGCAGGAAGAACAAAAAGCCATTTCCTGCTAACTGTTTGCATGCCTCACTCCAGGCCCCAGAGCCTCCTCCTCAGGCCCAGACCTGCTCCTGTGCTATGAGCTTGGTAAGATAAAGACAACATCTGGTTCTGTCTCTGGGTCAGATATGATGAGTTGGTCTGCCTGAGAGAAGAGAATGTCCAGGGAGGGAGAGTGTTCTGATTCCCAGGGAGGGAAGGAGGCCCGTGGTCTCCAGCTTGCCAAAGGCCTCTGAAACAAAGTAGGGCAGGATGGGCCCACTCTTGTCCACGCCTGGTCAGCTTAGATGTCAGGCAGATCCTTTCTGTCTTTCCTGGAGGAGCTGGGATGACAGTAAAGAGATTCCTGAGCATCGTGGAGCGAGGTATCTGGACCATATTCCAGCATCATCTCTGGTGCTCTCATCTGCTGAAGGAACCCAGGTGTGGAGAGAGCCACCGATAGGCCCACTGTGTCCTGGATTCCCCTTGGGGAGGGCAGAAGTGGGGGCTCTCTCAGAGGTTTCTGGGTGACCTCAGTCCAGTGAGTTACCATAAAAATTAATTCTGAGGGCCTCTTGGGAAGTCCACAGCACAACTCTGGTGAGAACTCATGCAGACTTCACCCCATCCAGAGCCCAGAAAGCCGTGACATTAGCTGAACTCCCTGACTGCCGAGAAAGGTGGGGGGAGGGGGGGCAGGACTCATTCAGGTGAGGCCTGAATCTAAGAAGAGAGGAAGGGCAGGCTATGAGAATGTCTGGAAGAGGATATCAAAGGCCACTCCTTTTGTTTTGGAATCCAGAAAATTGTGGATCCCACTAGTGCCTTCTGAAGGCTGGCTTGCCTCTGGGGGAAGGGATATAGCTTTATTTACAATTATTTAAATAAACTGCGGTGGGAAAGGGGAACTTATAGCAGGACTTAGCATCCTCTCTTTAGAGTCAAGATGGGCCCTAGAGGGAAGCCTGCCCCAAGGAGATGACACGCCTGATATTCAGCTTCAGAGATTTCATAGGTTGGTGGGTTTTTTTTGCTTCTTTGGGCTCAGGCCACCCGACAGAAATCCTGGATGGGAAGGCAAAAACCACACTGTGTGTGTGTGTGTGTGTGTGTGTGTGTGTTGGAGTAGGGAGGATCTGGGTCTAGGGTCAAGTTCACGAGTTAGAAGCCTTCTGCCAGGCCTGGAGGCGGAGGGCTGGCATGGAGCTGTCCAGACCCTAGTGCTGAAGAGGAAGGACAGCGGAGGAGGCTGAGCGCAATCAGGGGAGCCTGAGCCTTTGCCCTGATGAGAGGGGGCAGAGAGAAAGGATTCCCTTCTATCGAAGTTCCAGGGAGGGAAGGGCACAGGTGAGTTGGGGCGAGAAGGCAGGCTGAGGTTTTGAGAAGTGTGCAGCCGCCCGAAGCTGCAGCTGCGGCAAGTGTGGTGAAAGCGGGCCACCATCCAGCTGGGGGGAGGTTGCAATATGGGCCAGCTGTGGGAGAGGAACAGGGAAAAGACCACGGACCCGGGCTAGGACCCCAGCTACAGGTCAAGGAGGGGTGCATGAGGTGTTCTCACCCCTACCGCAGATTTCCGGGAGTCCACACATGCACACCCCATGGACACACGGGGTAAGCTCCCAGAACAGGCACACACCAAATACATGCAAATAGTCCCATGCATGTACTCTGCACACGGGCGCTGCTCCCCCCTCCAGGTTGCTGAGGCTCCCACTCCCAGTCTTGCACAGCCAGTCGGGCCTGGACGTCCCTCCCATGTAGCTTCACGGCCTCAGATGGCACCTCCAAAGGAGGCACAGCCAGTGGGAAGTCCCAGCTCAAGGCTGCGACCCGAAGGTTCTGGAGAGGGGTAGACAGGCAGCTCCTACTCTCGGAAAAGATGGGGGGGAGGGGGGAGATGCAGGGAGGGGGAAGAGGCAGAGGGGACAGATCTCAGACACCATTTCTCCTTCACCCAAACTCCCAGGGATGGTGCCAGAATAGGAAAGGAGAGTGAACAGGAGTGTGTCTCCCTCCCCCATGCTGGGGACACCCTGAGGACCTCAGCCTACCTGTGCGCGGGAGGCCCCGCCTGGAGCCCTCCTCGGCGGCGAGTCCGGACCTGTTGGCTCCTCTGGCTCCCCCGGATAACGGTGGGAGTGGGGGGTACCCCGCTTGTCCTCCACTCCGCCTCATGGCAGTGGGCCACGGAGAAACTCCGGCCCGGAGGCGGGAAGTTCCCTGGGTGCGGGCTCTGGGACGGGCGTTCTCTGGTCCCCGGGCCTTGCCGGGGTCCCAGCGCCCCCGTGCCCGCCGCCCCCGGCACCGCGCCCGCCCTCCCACCAGCAGACTGCGCCGAGCCTGAGAGCCCGAGCCCGCCCGCCCTCCCGGAGAGGCTGCTGCTGACCTGCATTGACGTCATTGCGTCATTAGGTTTCCCCTGGAAACACTGGCGCGCCCAAAATAGTAACACATTAATGCAGGCCGGGGGAGCGGGAGAGATGGTGTGTAGCCCTGCAGCTAACTCCGGCTCGCTAGCCAGCGCGCGGCGGCCCCCACCCCTTCCGAGGGCAGGGTGGATCTCGCTCGCCTGCTATTTTGAGAACAAAGGAAGGCAAAATATAGAAGCCCGGGAGGGAGAGAGTGCGGGGGACGCCGAGACCCTCTCGCCTTGCACACACACACACACACACACACACACACACACACGCACACTGGGCACACCCTCGGGCAGACGTCCCCTCTCTTTGGGTTCTTTCTTTCAGATGCCCAGGGCAGAGAGACAAGGCCAGGTCAGGCCCTTCTGCTCTGCTGGAGTGGAAGGGCGAACTCCCCCACACCCTGCCCCACACCGCCCCCTCCGACCCCTCCAGGCAGGCTGGCTGGGCGCCTTTCCTCCACGCTCCCATCCCCACCCACCCCTGCAGCCCTAGCGGGAAGGGCTCTGCTCCCGGGCTGCTGCGCCAGCTCCCCAGGCCAGTTCGTGTTGGGGGGAAGCCCTGCAAGGATGCAGCTGGGGTGGGGGTGGGGGTGAGAGGTGGGGCGGGGCGGGGCAGGTCACACTTCCAGGCCGACTCTCGGATGCAGCCACAGGCTCCAGAACGGTTTGGGCTGGGTAGAGGCCGACTTTTCTGAGCGGCACCTCGCTCCCGCCCTCGGGGACACTGCACGCAGAAAGGAGATGTTGCCTGAACAAACTCGCCCTCCCTAGACTGAGCCCTGTACTCAGCCTCTCCAAACCGGAGGGCAATGCTCCGCTGGACCCAAATAGCAAGCACTTGGCCTTGGGCTGACGGGGAAGTGGGGAGGTGGCCCGCGGAACCCCGAGAGCGGAGAGGGAGGCTATGCAGGCCGGGCGAGCAGGCGGTCCTGCGCGCCCCGGAGTGTAAGTGTGGGGAGCCGGGAGGGTCACTGAGGGGGATCGGCCTGCCCCTTCCTTCCAGAAGCCGCCCAAGAGCCCGGTGAAGGGCGCAGGGAGGTCTCCCGCTTCATTCCACCCTGGGCTTGTCTCCCCTTTGCTCCCTCTGGCCAGGGATGGGGCGTGACTGGGGTTTGGGAACATGTCTTCTTATGCTGGGCGCAGAGCTCACAGCACCCACTCTGGCAGCAAGGGGGAAGGACGGCTCTCACAGCGCTCTGACCGCAGGCATCCTCTGGGCTTTTGTTCCTGCTGACCACAAAGGTGATGAACAGCAGCCATGCCATCCCCGTGACGCAGGAACCAGAACAAGGAGCCCTTTTGAAGAGGACAGGCTTGGCCTAGCCCCGTAGGAGCCGTGTGTTCTCCCTCTGCCTGTGCTTTTCCCTCCCTGAATCGAGCGGCGGAGGACTCATCTGTGAAACCAGGTCATGGAGCCTGCTCCGCCCGCTGTTGTGAAAATGACGAGAAATGGTACCTAGAACATGTTGGAGAAATGACGTGCTAGTTCTGCTCCTCCTACTCCCCCTCACCCTGTGGGTAGTTCTCTGAGCAGTGAGTGAACCCACACTTCGCAATATATACACACTCCCTAGTGACATCTTTGGGGAAAAATGGGCAGGGACGCTGAAACAGTAATATGGAATGCCCCAGCCCCAAAGGGATGGCATCTGTGCTCTTTCCTCCACATCATCAGCCTCTGATCTAATGCTTTCAGGTTCAAGTTCAATCAAGTGGTGGGAGGTGAGGGCCTGGGTCTGCCTCTTCGGTGGGCTTATTTCCTGGCAGGACATGCACCAAGGCTTTATACCTGGGCTCCCTCACCCACAGCTCCTGTCTTACTGAGCTGCAGCCATCATCTACCTGTCTGTCTCCTCTCTGGACCGCGGCAGGAACCAGGTGACACTCTGTTCCACCAGCGACTTGGCACAGTGCCCGGCCTCACAACTGACATTCATTGTTGGTAAACCAAAGTCTGATAGCCCCTCTTATGGTAACCTCAGCCCCAGCTCCACTATTTCCACTTACCGCTCCACGTCAATGTGCAAGCAGGCCCAGGTCCTGGGCCAAATGCTGACTCATCCTAACAGGCCTCTCTGATCCCCAGGCGTAGGAGCTCCCCCGTCCTTAGTCCCAGTGAAACGGGAGTTTTGGACTGGAACACCTGGTGATCCCCTGGGCAGGATGGTTCCTGGGCTCTTTGTCCAGGGGAGTTGCAGAATGGAACCACAGACAGAAGGTATAGCAAAGGTGGGATTTATTGAAGAACAAGTACAGATTCCCACATGGGGAGTGGGGGGGGGGGGTCCCACTGAGTTTCTTCCCTCTACTGTTTATAAAGGCTGCAGATCCTTGCCTGATATCCCCTCTGATGGGCCACTATTCCCTTGGACTGGTTATTTTAGTAACTCCTGAGCTCAAAAGTCAAACTTCACATGTTGTGAGGTGTCTCCCTCCTCTCCCCCTTCCTTATTGTTTTCCTGTTCCCTTTGGGCTTTCTTCCTCTCCTTCTGGGTGAAGGGCTTCCTTCTCTTTGTTTTGTAATTTTTTTGCTCCCAGCTCTTTCATTCTATAGAACTGTACCTGTTGCAGTTTTTCAGCCCTGTTTCTTCCATGGTCCCCTTAATTTCTAAAAGTTCCTAAACCTGTCTTTTTCACCCCCCAAAATCCTTGTTTCACCAGGATCGCCTGGAAGAGCTTTCACGGTGTCGATCACGTTCTGCCCTGGATTGCTGCTCTCTGTGTAAGGTGCGCATCTCCCTGCTGAGCTGTGACTTTCCGGAGCTGGAACTGGGTCTTGCCCATCTCCATGTGCCCCACATAGCTCAGCTGTGCCCAGCCCCGGCACATAGCAGTGCTCAGGAGATGTTTCCTGAACTGAACTCTGCAGGTCTGCCCACCATTTCTCAGCTGAGTGCCTGGCATGAGATGCGCAGTGATGCTGATGGTGCTATCTCTGCTGATAGGCTAAGAGAGAGACCTCAGCAATGCCAGTCTAGAGATGCCCCATGCCACCCAGCCTCCAGGAGGGAAGCCCTAGGAAAGCATCCTTCCTGTTTTTTGTTTATTTTTTTCTGCTCTGGAGGAAAGTGCAGAGTGTGCCTGGCAGTCTGGGAGGATAAGGAGGCTCTAAAGGAAGGAAGAGACCCACCAGGGTCAAAGCCAGAATCTGCCCAATCAGTTGTTTGGCAGGAAAGTCAGCATCTTACAATTACATCCTGGCCCACAGCAGCGTCTGCTACTCAGCCAACAATGATAAACTCAGCCATGAAAATTTCAGTCACTGAGCCCCTCCACACACATGAACACCAGTGACTCCTTCTTGGCTCAGCCCCATCCTAGCAGCATTGCTTCCCCAGACCATCTCAGCTGTGCATCCCAGGCAGGTTAGCACATTTGTGTCAACCTGGGATTCCCCAGGGGCCTGCCGGATCCCCAATCCTCAAAGTGGGGAGTGGAGTTCTCTGTTCAGGGAGGGGTGGAAGCAACCCACTTTGCTCTCATGAGTGTGTCTTTGCTGCTGCTACAGGTACCATCACTTCCATCATCAGCTTGCCAACCTCCAAATCTGCACAGCCTCTGGAAACCAGCTGTGTTGTGAGGAGATGCATGGGAACAAGGTAGGAAAGATACTCTGGGTATGTTCATATGGACATAGGATGAAGGGGGCCTGGAAAGCTTTTGGGGACTCAGGGGCTCTGTGGACTACCTGAGCTGTCTTGCAGCCATGAGACAGCAGGTGCTGCAAGGTCTCAGGTTGAGGTGCTGCCTCGAAGGCTGCTGAGTAACTCACTTGCTTCTTTTTGGCTTTTCCCCCACAGCTCCAGTTCAAATTCCTAAGAAGGGGAGAATCTGATGACCCAGCTAAGTTCCAGGGTTCCTGCTTAGTCAGAGCCTCTGACACAGGCCACCTGTTAATCCAGAAAGCTACAACCCTTGGGTCAGACTTCCCCCACTGGTCCAGTCAGCAGGGCTGAAGTAGGAACCAATGGGGTGAAAAGTTGCCTGATCAGAAGTGGTCCTGCCTTCCCTCAGCAGAGCTATGGGACTGGCAAGTTCCTTGGAAGATTTCTTTGATGTGTTGAGTGCCTTGGCTGGCTCCTCCAATACAATCACACTCTGGAGTAGACTTCGACCTCTCCCTGCGACCCCAGCCTGGGGAGATCTTGTGGGCATCAGGTCTCATCTTCACCCCAGGCCTCCAATAGCAGTGTTGACCTCACTGTGTGATGCTGAAGGTGATGGCACCAGACAGGCAGTGAATGAGGAAGAGCCTGCCAGGCTGTTTCCCTGGTGGCTTCTCTGTGTCCCACTCACTCCCACTTAGTTTGCAAGACCTGGGACCTCCTGCTAAACACAAATAGACCAGGAGGAGAGCCCCCCTGACACACCCCCTGGAAGTGGTGTTCTGAGCCCTGCAATGGAAAAGTGACTAACCTGGTAACAGAGTCAAGAAGAAAGAGCCCTGAGCTGAGAATGAGAACAACAGGCTCCTAATTCCAGCACTACCATTAAGTCACCACTAACTCAAAACAACTGGCACCTTCTATTTTTACCATCTTCTTCATATAATGATGGAATGGTGCACTCAAACAGGTGTGTCAGCCATAGCACACCTGTTTGATTGTACCATTCCATCATTGGCAAAACCTGTGACTTCAGTGGAAATTGACTCACCCAATGGGAGTCTTATTGCCCTTGAAACCGGGCTATAGGTGGGCAGGTGGCAGAGTGGACTGCTTTCTTGAGATTTGACCTCTGACTGTCTGAGCCTCTGGTGGCCTTAGGTATTCTGGTGGCTATAGATCCTTTCCTCCCCAATAGGCCCTTCATTCTACACCTTCTTAGCCTCTCTTATACCAAGCATCCTCCTATATCAAGCAAGGATGCCACAGCCCACTAAGTCCTTC